TCAAAGAAACTTGCTATTTTATTTTTTATTTTTTTTTGGATTGTTGTAGCCTGTATGTGACAGATTGAATGTAATTCTTTTTCTTGGTTACGGGTTACCCAAAAAAAAAAAAAGTTATTGAAATCAGAAGGTATTTAATTGATTTTCTTGTAAAATTTGCAGAGGAATACAAAGCTTCTAATCTATATAGAATTTACATGACACCAAAATACCAAATACAGAGAGATAGACTGATAGAGAGAAGAAGTTGTCCAGTTAACAACTAACACCAAATTGAAGTCAAATTTATTAACATCAAACTTAAGTTACTTAACACTGAAATACTGAATCCATAAAAATTAGCTCCAAACCGATTTATCAGCTCTCTCCACGTAGAGAGTGACTGTGAGTCTGTGACGGATCTATTTCCCAATTTGAGCCAACACATTCTGCAGTTACTTTGCTTAATCACAATTGCAGCCAAATTGTATGCCTGTATTTGTTCCATTGAATCATTCTAACATGTTAAAATGAAATAATTAGTGAAGTGTACTCTAAAGTCTAAATTATAAAAGACAATCGCAAATTGTAAATAGCAACTGTTTACTGTTATATTATTTTCATATAATATAATTAGGTTCTATTATTGAAAGTATGTTTAGTTGTTATAGTTATAGAATGAATCATGGTGCTTATAGTTATAGAATATTAGATTGATTTGCAGCTTACATAATTTCTATTGAACTTGATTGTAGTTTGAACTTTAAAAGATGCCTAGTGAAGGTTCAAGAAAGGATCCGGCATGGAATTACTCACATTTGGAGAATCCGAAAGATACAAATGCCGTCACTTGTAACTTCTGTGCAAAAGTTACAAAAGGAGGTATTTATCGGGCTAAGCAACACTTAGCTGGAGGATATAGAAATGTGAGTGCATGCACAAGATGCCCATCTAGTGTTAGAGAAGAAATCAAAGAGTACATGAGTAAGAAAAAGGAAGAAAAAGAACAAATGAATATGTTACCTAGTGATGAGATTAATTTCATTGATGGAGAGGATGAGGATGATGTCATGGAAGTTAGCAATCGGGGAAAAAGGGTAGCTAGTGCAGGCAGTGCTAGTGTCAATTCCTCAAAGATGCAAAAGCAAAAGGGACCGATTGATTTATATTTCACTCCCAGACCGGAAATTGTGGTACAAAAAAGAAAGGAAGGGGGAAAACAAACAGCCATTAATGATGCATGCAAGAAAGAGTTGAGAGGAAGAGCGTGTGCTGCTTTTGCAAGGTGGATGTATGATGCAGGAATTGCATTCAATGCTGTTAAGTATGATAGCTTTGCCGAGGTTGTTGAAGCAATTGGATAATATGGTCCTGGCATGAAACCACCTAGTTATCATGAGGTGAGAGTTCCTTTGCTTAGGAAGGAATTGGATAATACCAATGCTTTGATGAATGACCATAGGGAGGAGTGGTCAAAATTTGGATGCTCATTAATGGCAGATGGGTGGACAGACAAAAGAGGGAGAACATTGCTTAATTTCCTAGTAAATAGTCCAAGGAGAACCATGTTTATTGAGTCGATAGATACTTCTTCTTTTTCAAAGGATGGTGACAAGATGTTTGACTTACTTAATAAATTTGTGAACCGCATTGGAGTAGCAAATGTCATCCAAGTCGTCACAGATAGTGAGTCAAGCAATAAGTATGCCGGTAAGAATGTTCAATGTTTATAACTTTTAGAGTTTACATTCTTTACAAATATATAATTTAAATCAACTTTGATTTACTCATTCTCTTTATATCATTTTTTCTTTTTTCCGTTTGGTTTCAAATAGGGAGGATGTTAGAGAAAGAACACCCACATTTGTATTGGACCCCATGTGCTGCTCATTGCTTAGACTTGATGTTGGAAGACATTGGGAAAATACCGTCCATCTCTAGAACAATGCAAAGGGCAGTGGAGTTGAATAGTTATATTTATATGCGACCAAAGTTGTTGAACATTATGAGGAACTTTACTCACAAAAAGGAGTTGCTTAGGCCTGCTAAGACTCGATTTGCTACATGTTTCATCACATTATCAAGTATTCACAAGCAAAAGAATAACTTGAGAAAGATGTTTACTTCAGAAGAATGGAATCGTAGTAAATGGGCGAAAGAGGAAGCCGGTAAAAGAGTTGCTTCTTATGTTTTGATGCCTTCCTTTTGGAACAACATTGTCTTTAGCCTTAAGGTTTCCGGTCCTCTTATTCCGGTTTTGAGATTAGTTGATGGCGAGAGAAAGCCTCCCATGGGATACATTTATGCGGCTATGGATAGGGCTAAAGAAGCCATTGCAAAATCATTTGGGGGAGTAGAAGATAAATACTCAGATATTTTTGAAATAATTGATAAGAGGTGGAATGTTCAACTTCATCGCCCTTTGCATGCAGTAGGTTATTATTTGAACCCAGAATACTTTTATTCAAATTCGAAAATTGAAGAAGATGAAGAGATTGCAAAGGGTTTGTATGCATGCATTGCAAGGTTAGTCCCGGATGTCAAAGACCAAGACAAAATTACTGAGGAGCTGTCCTTATATTCTAAAGTGAGGGCCTCTTTGGTAATCCCTTTGCTATTAGACAGAGAAGTACACGAGGACCAGGTAAAGTGGTAAAGTATATTAAGTTAGTATAGTTAAGTGTTAAAATTATTTTGACAATAGAGTCGATAGAAAGATGAAGCTAAAGTTGCTAAACATCATTATTAATTTTTTTTTAATAGCTAATTGGTGGGAAGCTTATGGCAAGTCAACAAAACTTCTCCAAAAGTTTGCTATAAAGGTTTTAAGCCTTACTTGCAGCTCTTCTGGTTGTGAACGAAATTGGAGCGTGTTTGAGCATGTAAGTATATACTATTTAGTATTTACTAACTAGGTTTGTAATTTAATTGTTGAAAATTAAAATTTTAATTTTTTATACTTACTAGTTAAAGTTGAATTTATTGCAGCTTCATAACAAGAAAAGAAATAGGCTCGCTCAAACAACGTTGAATGATTTAGTGTTCATCAAATATAATAGAGCATTGAGGCGTCGATATAATATGCGTGACACTCTTGATCCCATTTTACTCGATGACATTGATGAGAGCAACGAGTGGTTGACGGGGAGGATGGATGATTCTGATGTAGAACATGATCTAGTCTATGAAGATGATTCCTTGACATGGGGTGATGTTGCTAATTTTGCTGGTATTGGAGAGGCAAGCAGGCCGCAATGGTTTACTAGATCAAAATCTAGTTCTAGTTTACGGTTACCAACAAAGGGAGCAGGAAGTTCTTCAGTTCGACTTGTGGATGAGGATGAGGATGATTCAGATGAGATAGAAGAGGATCCTGAGAATTATGAATCATTTAGTGACGATCAAAATGATGTTATGCTTATTGATGACGAGGATGATATTTAGATTCATTGGTGTTGTCTTCTTAGGAAGAATGATGTTTATGTTTGTTTTAGTTTTATCTTATACTTCTCCTTAGTTGACTTTTGCATCTTTATGTTAATATGTTTAATTATTCACTGTTTTGAACTCAAGTACTTGATTTACTTGGTTTTGGCATCTTTATGTTGAATATTTAACTTAAGTAATTCATTTAGTTGACTTTTACATCTTTCTATATACTATTGCATGATTTGCATCTTTAATACTTTATTGGGTGGGTTTTGTTTTTTTTTTTTTCCAACGTGCGCCTTGCTTCAGTCGGGCGCGCGCCTCGCCTTGCGCCTTGCGCCTCAGGCTCCAGGAGGCATTTGCGCTTTTATGCGCCTTGAGCCTTTAACAACTATGATGTGATGACTGTTTGTTTCCACACATTGTGTGTTACAGCTGGTAGTTACTTTTGGTGTTCTCTCTGCTTGCTAGTTAATCTGTCACTTGCCATATATTGTAGTTGAACCATGGATCATTTTTTCAGTTGTTTAAAATTGGAAATTTATCAATAGGGTTGTTCAATCACTTATTTCTGATTTACTTTCATGACTATGCTAACTACAAGTTGCAAATGTATTTCTGTTTGGCTTTCAGGATGAATTTTTGTAGAAACTTGCTACAATGATGTTTTCCCATGCTTTTGATTCTACCAAAGGTTTCCTGTTCTCAACTTGTGATTTTTATTTTTATTTCTAGAATCTAGTGATAAATCAGTTCACTCTTTCAGTGTTTGTTTTTAGCATGTCAATTCGTAGGTTTTTTATATACCAAATGCATACTTTGAAGTTGAATGTGAAGGCTTTGTATCTGGCCATGGAAGTAAAGTGGCATTTCTACCGGAATCTTGTTAGTGGCTCTGGCCCAAAGGATGTGGTAATTATTGTAGAGCTTCTTAGTACAGCAGTAATCATGACCTTTGCCATGTAATTTATGTGCATTGTTGTGCGAGAAGCAATTACAGTGATACGTGATTGGGTCGGAAATTTATGGCCCCGTGAGTTCTGTCCTAGGGTTTTTGAGAGGGTATCGAAGGTGAAACAATTAGAAATTGATGAGAACACAGTATTGGTCCGAATCGAGTAGCAATTGATGCTTAAACCCTAATTCTGTTTATCAGGAGCCAACAAATGAGAGGGTATCGAAGGTGAAACAATTAAGAGTCTAAATGATTTTGTTCTGGATCTTGATGTTCTTTAGTTTTTCTCGTGCCGATCTTCTCAGGGTTAAAATTTAGAATATAGAGTCCTGTTTTAGAATGTCTCCTTTACAGAAGTGACATCGGGAATATAGAGTCCTGTTTTAGAATGTCTCCTTTACAGAAGTGACATCGGTCATTGTCGTTTGCTTATATTCTTCAGTGTCTTGTCTTGTATTGTTATTAGAACAATTTACTTTCAAGGTGATAAAGCAACCCTATTAAGGTTTGGTTGAGTTCAGCATGGATTCGAAGTCATGGCTAAAACTTTCTGTACCTAAGCCACTTTTATAGGGCATATTAGAGAATCAATGACCTGCCATTCTGGAGGTTAACCCCTGGTTTTATTGATTGAAGATTCTATTGGGGGAAAAAAAATGTAAATACCAAGTTTATAACAATTCTGAAATTCAAGCTTAACCACAACAAATGTTGCAAGGAAACATGGGTTGGGTTGAATAAACACAACCAATTACTCCCACAAAATTCATGATATGTCATAGATGTGGCCCTGCTGACATGTTAATAAACATAATGAGAACAAAGTATTGGTCCAAATCAAGTAAAAATTAATGCTTAAACCCTAATTCTGTTTATCAGGAGCCAACAAAGGTTTATTGAACCAACTACTCCCACAAAATTCATGGTATTTCAGAGACGCGGCCTTGCCGACAAGTTAATACATCATAATGAGAACACAGTATTGGTCGAATCAGCTGCGTATCAAGTAGAAATTGATGCTTAAACCCTAATTCTGTTTATCAGGAGCCAACAAAGGGGATGAGGAAGAAGTTTCCTGCTTGATAAGCTCCAGATGCAGTTTGCTCATACATCTCTCACAAAATCAGGGGCCTACTAAGAACCTGCATATAATTGAGTTAGTATCATTAGAAAGGTAAAGAAGTTGAACTTCTAAAAAGATCTAAAATCTCTCGAAATCCTACTAAATATGTAAATCTGTTTATCAGTGGACACGAGAACTTGAGAAATATCCTTGCCTTGCCGTAGACAATCCTTGATGAACGGTAAAACAATAGAAGCTAAATCAGTTTGGTGTGAAGTATAACAATGATCTGCTCCTTCTACGATGTGCAATTTGTGGTTGGGTATGATTTTTGCGAACTCCAAGGCATCTTCAACCGGGATAATTTCATCAGCAGATCCATGGACCGTCAAGACCCTGTATGTACAGCATTCAACACAAACCATAAAATAAATAATTAAAAAAAAGGCCATGTGAACTATAACAACTAAACAATCAACTGAGACGGGGGAGTAAGTTTTCAAATCCATACTGTATATCTAGTTAGTTTTCAAATCCATACGTGTATATCCCATGTAGAAACATATATCAAAAGGTATAGTTCAAAATCCAGTTGTGTGAGTTATTAATTGCAATAGCCAACTTCACTGAGCTTATGAGGAAACACCAGGTTGCTGGACTGAGTTTGTCTAAGAGTTCATTCAGCGCCATGGCTTCCTTCCAGTGTGTTTTTCACAGTACATGAAAATAGGTCATGGTTTGGCCAGTGAAGATAGCTAATGCAATTTCAATCTCTATAACAGCAAAAATTTGTCTTCTTGGATGCAAAAAAATAAACACGGCATTGTTATTATGGCAGTAATAAAAAACCAACAATGAAAAAAAATGCACAAAGATTGTATACTGCGAGAAGAATTATACCAAAATGTCAAGATGAGAGAAGCTGAAACGGTTTAGCCATGCAACAGAGATCACTTTACCGAGATTGATGCATTACCAACAGAACACAAGTGACAAGAACAGGGCTGAATGTCGAAGGATGTGAGAAAAGACATTAAGACCTAGAAGTTGTGATTAGTGCTATTTGACGTGAGATCCATAAACAATGTTGCATGGGAGTTTGTCAATTTTAAATTATTTTCAGTAATATAAGGAGTTTTTATTAACCTTGCTGTAACATTCATTTTTAAAATTTTAGAGGTTTTAGGAATGAAATTTGAGCTTTTATACATGTAACCATGAGTTTGGATATATTTTTGGTTATTCACCACTTAGTTTTAGGATGTTCTGAGCTTAAGTTGTATAATGCGACAGGCAAATTATACATACATACAAATATATATATATATATATACTGGAAGAGATTCTCTCCGCCAAATGGATCATAAATTATGGCTTTGGGGATTAAATAGATTAGGATGGCAATATCAAACTCCATTTGATCTGTCTGCCAAGAAAACTGCTAGCAACAAACACAAATAATTAAGGGCTCGTTTGACAACCACAGTTGCTTTGTGCTTTTACTTTGACCCGAAACAAAATCAATGTTTTTGCTCTTAAGAGTGTGTTGAATACTGTTTTGAAACATGTTTGGTAACGTCTATTTGTTGTAAGATTTTAAAAAGCAAAAACATAAAAGCATGTTTGGTAACATCCATGATTCGGAAGCAAAAACATGAAAATATGTTTGGCAACATCCATGCTTCGGAAGTAAAAAAATGAAAACATGTTTGGTAATGTCAGTATTATGAAAATACTGAAAGCCATAAAAAACATGTTTGGTAACGTCAATATTGTGAAAATATATTTTTGGCAATGACGGTTTGTATTCATGTATTTTAATATTTTAAATTATTTATAATAATATTAAATTATATAAATAATATCAAAAATTTGTAAAAATGTTATTCAACAACCAACAAAAATTGTAAAACTGAAGTGTGTGTATATATAAATCCAATTTAAAGTTCAAACTTTAAATTTAGAAGAGTTTGTACTATCAAATTATATTCCTATTTCAAAGTTTAGAATATTTGCACCTCATCACCCAAGCTCATTTCATTGGCATATTAATATAGATTATTGGGATTAAGATCCATCTAACAAACATAATGGTTATAGAAGTATAATCACAAATATTACTGAGAACCAATTATATAGGTAGCATGGCACACAAGAACTCAAGTTCAGTACAAATAAAAATTATAAGAAGATATATTATAACTCTTACTGAGAACCAATCAAAAAATATTTTTAAATCAAAAAAAGTTACAAGTTAGAAGTCACTTTGCATATAGGTAGCATGATAAACAGGACAAATACACAACAAAATGGAAGACAGAAAAATGGAACAATCTGTATATTCAGAAAAATGAAAGACGGAAAAAAAATACACAGCAAGATCATTAGACAAAACTTATAAAAAATGAATCGAAGTGACCAATCTATATATTCAGAAAAATGGAAGACAGAAAAAAATACACAGCAAGATCATTAGACACAACATATAAAAAATAAAAATTGAATCAAAGTAACCAATCTGTATTTTCAGAAAAATGGAAGACAAAAAAAAAATACACAACAAGATCATTAGATACAACATATAAAAAATGAATCGAAAAAACCGATCTGTATATTCAGAAAAATGGAAGACAGAAAAAAATACACAACAAGATCATTAGACACAACATATAAAAAATGAATCGAAGTAACCAATCTGTATATTCAGAAAAATAGAAGACAGTAACCAATCTGTATATTCAGAAAAATGGAAGACGGAAAAATTTAATTGAAGTGACAATAATGTTAAAAACAGTTGAAATTTATTTTCAGAAGTCGAAGACACAAAATAGACCCAAAGTTATACACAACATAAAACAAAATTGAATCAAAGTACCAGAAATTTTTTTTCAGAAGAAGGGTTTCAAATCCAAGACAAAAATAAACCCAAAATTATACACAACATAATAAAATATGAAATGAGTAAAGAAAACTTAAATACCGAAGTAGGATTTTCAAATCGAAGCACAAATTCAAAAAAAACAAAAGACAGAAGATAATAAAATCTGAATCGAAGTGACAAAACTTGAATTTCCGAAGTACGGTTTTCAGATCCAAGCACAAATTCAACCAAAAATAAGACACAAGACAGTAAAATCTGAATCGAAGTGACAAAACTTGAATTTCCGAAGTACGGTTTTCAGATCCAAGCACGAAGTCAACCAAAAATAAGACACAAGATAGTAAAATTTGAATCGAAGTGACAAAACTTGAATTTCCGAAGTACGGTTTTCATATCCAAGCACAAAGTCAACCCAAAATGTTACACAATATGAAAAAAAACTCATCCAAGTAACAAAACTGAAACCCTCACCACTAGGGTTTAAGATCCAAGCAAAAAAACGAAAACGAAATAGGAAAAAATTACCATCAACACAAAGAAGAAGACGTACAAGAACAGAATGGAGCTATGTTTACCGATCGGAGCCTGCAAGAACGTCGTTTGTAGCGACGGGATGGTTGAAGCTAGGTGCACAGTGAAATCGCCTCCGAATCGCCCTAGGGTTGCTCTCGGTTGCTTCTCAAATTTGTGGCGATATTTTGGAAATATTGCTTCTCAAGTATTTGAGCCACTAATGGGCTACAGTGCAGAAGCATTTTACCGCTACAGTAGTGGAAACAACAAGAAGCATTTTGATGCTTCTAAAAATAGGCCCAATAATGGAAGTGTTTCAGCACTGTTTGGAAGCGTAACAGATTTCACCAAACATGCTTTGGGCCGGAATTTTGCTACAGTAACTGGCCCAAAGCAAAAAACAAGTGGCAGAAGCAGCCACCAAACAGGCCCTAAGGAAAAAGGTTTTTTTTTTTTTTCCCTAGTTGGTACTCACACCCCTTTGGAAAGTAGGGGCCTAATACCGCTAGGTCACTCGCCCGTTGGTTTTCTTTTTGTGCATGTTTTCCTACATATAATATTTTTTTTAAATCATGGGATTTTTTCGTACATATAATATTTTTTAAATATCATGGGATCATATGATAGTACGCAACCAACATAATTAAAAAATTTGAATAACCTTAATTATAATCTATAAGATGGAATTGACTTTGTTCTGACCTGCACTCCTCGTCAATCTTGAGGCAAGCTTCATGCATATTTGTGTTTAAGCGATCCATCAAACTTTCCTCAGTCACACGAAAATTAACTTCTCCTACAAAAGGAGCGTTTCTGTCATGAGTCATTTATATATTTATTATTATACACAATAAGTGCATAATGAACCATTCTGGGAAAATCAGAAGACAACCTGCAATTATGTGAGAACTTTCCTATCTTGTCAGGAGCATTTTATTGATTTTGTAATATTTTTTTTTATTGAGTTTTTACTGCCAGCCCCTGAGTTAATGATACAACCGTAAAATACCAACACAACTCATAATCATTTTTTACTTTTTATTCCTTTTGCTTTGTCCAGTGCAGGTATACTTTCCCTTTTGCCTTTGTACTAGGGGGGGTATACAGTTTTCATTCTGTCATTAATACAATTTCATTTTACGGAAAAATAAAATTAAAAAAAAAAAAGGTTGTTAGTCAAGACACACCACAACACTACTAACCATTTACAGGAAAGTCACATGCTCCTACAGCCTTCATCGAAAGAACTTATGAGTAAACATGTAAAAACGTGGTAATAAAGCATATCAAATCCATACAATGCTAAGGAGAGCAAAACAAACTGGACTTCTTTAATTTTGAATTTAGAGGCATACAAAATCTATTAAAATATTCTTGCATATATTGGACACGAACTAATAAACAGAGCCAGAAAAAAGTAAGGGGGAAACCTTGTGGGGGAAACTAAAAATCAAAAGGAAAAATATATATATCCACGAAAGAATCTATAAGTTACCTGATCTCTTTTTAACATCAATAAAACCATCCTTCTTGATTCTCTCAATGAAGTTTTTTCCCAAGCGATCTTCTAGGCCTCCCTTCAGATTATAACGGCCAGAAACATTGACCACCGTGCGGACATCATGATATTTAGATGCATATAGGAGCACAATACCGCCTCCTGCATGGAAAATATGATGTGGACAAGTAAATGGTTACTGAAATGGACTTCACAGATGACCATTGTGAAACAAAATGGAAAATTTACCGAGTTAAAATTAAAAACTACACCACACTATGTATTGAGTTTTTACTTCTTATCACACTGGTTTCATATGAAAAGAAAGCATCCCCCCATCCTTTGATGGTTACATAATCAAGATCCAGTTCATCTTAAATATGTAGTTGTCATCCTAGTCCTCAAAAATAAGACAATCATGTTTGGAGTATTTACAATTCAAAAAAATTGTGTTTCATTTTAGGAATTGTGAGCAGATTTGGTTGGATTGAGGCCTGAAATCCGACTCTTGTTTGGGGTGCGATAGTTGGAATCTATGTGAGTTCTACCACAAAACTAAGACATGGATTTTATTTAAATGAAGATAAAGGAAGAAGGTGTGCCCTATATACAACAGAGTGTTGACCCAGAATGTGTCAAATGGAGCGGAATGTTATTGAAGGCTGTATACAGCTTTATATTGTTGTTGTAGGACAATAATACTTCAAAAACTCAATAATGCTATCTACAATAGAAAGGGTGTGGGCTATATATCTAAAACAGTGGAAGACTGGCTGTAGGTTGTGTGTATAGCAAAACGATGGTCTTGCCTAGGTTTTAAAGGTGATACGATTCTGGATCTCTAGAGAAGATTTAGGACTGGAGAGCAATTTTTTTTTTATAAAATGCTTACAGAATAAAGGCAGGCTTGGATTAAGAAATAAGCTTTTGGGTTGGAAAAAATAAAACAACAATCGCGACTGAATCACAGGAATCTGCTTGGCGAACTGCAAAGAGCTAGAGGAAATGATAGGAATTACTCATTTACTCCTAGAATCCCATAAGCATCATACACCTAGGGTTTATATCAGACAACTCCCAAAGAGCACACTTTCTCAAAATTTTGTTCTAAATGGTTAGAGATAAGTAGGCTCCCAAGTATTGAATTTTAACAAGACTAGTACTCCAAATTTTAAAAGTACAGAGAACTTGAAAATTTCAACTAGTACAGTTGATCTTATGACCACTTGAGGCCACATAATATATATATATATATATATATATATATATATATATATATATATATATTTACAAGAACACACAAAAGACCCAAAATTAGACACATGGCCCACCGCCCACCACTATATTACACGTCTTGGAAAGTTTTATATTACAAAAACACCAATGTCTAAAGTTAAATAAACAAAACCAACAACATACTACCTAAATTGGGAAAGAAAAAAAAAAAGGACTTCTAATAAATTAGAATTCATCAGTTTAAGTGGGACTGCCAAGTAACTTAACCAGTTATTTACTTCTATCTTCTTTGCATTTGCTTATTCTTGATCCTCTAACAGACTGAATAAATTGTTCTAACTTGGAAATCACATGTTTTAAATTTTTAAGCACAAACCACATTTTTCTCCAGCTATTTCAGTGGGAAAATTTTGCAAATTGGGTATCTAATATAAAAACAGGCACACCTTTACTATGTCCAAGAATTGCACTTATTAGCCGCTTTGCCCTACTGAAGTGCTGAATTACAGCATGCAAGTCTTCAGCCTCTCTCCAGTAGTTACCAAACTGGAATGAACCTTCACTTTCCCTAAACAGCAATATTAATCAATATAAATTTATGTCAAATGTGAATTTGTGCACAACAACATGACTCCACTAATGCAGATGGAAAACTTAAATAAGTATATATAAGCATCATAAAGTCGCCTTAAAAACTCCAACATGATGAAATGGTTCAAATAGTGTCGCATCAGAAAAGGTGAAATGGATTTTCTTTTACTAATGCACCCAATCTAACCGTGTTATAACGTGTTTGGTGGATGCAATTTTAGGTTGCTTGACATCTTAGTTAATTATTTACACGACAATGTCACTCTATAAGGTTTTGGCTTATTTACAAAAAACACACATCTATCTAAGATGGATATTCTTGAAATATAGCTAGACTAGATTTTTTTTGTTATTTTCTATAAGAAAAATAATTTTATAAAAATTAACTGAAGACTAAGGTGTGCCACTAGAGAAGACCCTTCCCAAGAAGACTGCAGAATAGGAAGATGATAGGAACAACAGCCCAAACTAATGTAATCACAAAATAGCAACAAGAGGATTCCAGGGTTAATACTCTCCTATTAAAAATTCATAGTTGCGCAGCAGAAAATTAAGTCAGCTCTCAAATACTCCATTAAAAATGAAGTGGCTGCATCTCCAAGAAACCGGAAGAGATAAATGCAATACATGTGACATAACTCCATGTAATAGTAAGGTCCTCTCTAATTTTCTTTTTATTTTCCTTTTTTTTTTTTTTTTTTTTCATTTGTGTGCGCGTGAGTACCTTTGTTACTTCTCTTCCATGCATTGAAAAGAACAATACATTTCGATTCTTTTTTCATTTCCTCTTTTTAAGATTACATTACATCTCGGCTCTACTGATTCACAACCCTGCTGTGAAAAGAACAAGTCATTTCAATTTTGTTTACCTTTGTTACTTCTCTTCCATGCATTAAAAAGAACAAGACATTTCAATTCTTTTTAAGGTTGCATTACATCTCGACTCTCTATTGACTCACAGCTCTGATAAGCATCACACAGATTTGATCACCCTTTGCCGCATACAATTCATGCATCCACTGGAACACTGCATATTGCTAGCTCACTACATCCATGTGACAAAAGTTTTCAGTGGATGCATGAAGTTATCGGGGTGTGTCTTGCTAACATAATGGACACAAGTAGCAATTATTCAATCACTTCTAAATGAAAGTAGATAATTATACAAATGTGCATGCATTTTTTGACCTCACTGCCAACAATCAATAAAGCTTCAAAAAAAATATTGACAAAAATTACATCATGTTCATTGAAGTAAAGCAATATCTTTTTATCTAAAGAAGATAGAACAAATTTATCTTGGAGTGAATCCATTTTTTAGGAAAATAAAATTAAAGTTCAACGTAATTATTGAATAGCAAGGAATAAAATGTACATAGGTGATTTGGATCCACCCATTACTAAAACGATACCGTGCTTTTTCACGAGGCAGGTGGTCCTTTCTTTTTTACTTGATTGATCAGCATAATTAATTCTAATTAAAAATATATTAAAAAGATGAGACGAAGTGAATCTAAAAGTCAGCCAAAAAGAAGGCCAAGGTCCAAGCTAAGAGTAGGATGAACCACCACCAAGTGAGTGGTAATTATGAAGGTCAAGGTTTCTACACCCCTACAATTCTAGAAGCTTACCCATTTCCAGCAAAGTCAAAACGGAAGGCACTGATTCCTTCATTTTCTAAAGCAATAGCAAGGTTCACCATAGTGTTGTCCTCCTGGAATAGAAACACGAGTGGTGAGATCATTTCTATAATCGAACAAAACATAAGTCCTCAAACTTTATGTGAACTATTGATGGATGTACAACTTAAAATTCTCAAAAAAAGTATTACTCAAATTTGGTTACACAAAAAACTCAATGAGCTCAGCATTATTGTCCTACACCTTGTTTAAAGTCATTATTATTCCTGAACATACTTGGTTGAATTTAAAGTAATTCCAGTGATTCTGTACACAATTACTAACCAGGGTTTGCCACCCCCAGTTCCATGCACCAAGGTTGCATATTTGGAAAATCTTTTGAAAAAAAAAAAAAAGCACACTGAATATGTAGTAATGTTCAGTATGTTTCTTTTATTAGTAAAGTTATAGTAATTTGTGGTAGTTCATGGCAGGAGCATCCAGTTGGATTGGAGAATCCAGTGGTTTGACCCATGAACCAATACCTATTTACAAATAGTAAATGGTTTGGTTCGATAATATCACTAAAATAGTAGAGAGCAAGAGCAATAACTTCAACAAAACTTCCATCAGTCCAAAACAAGAAATTTTAACACAATCCAAGAGCAGACAAGCACCTAGCAACTAGATGCATTCCAATGTTCAACAATTAGATGCCTATTGGCCCTAACAAGATGCTCAAATAGCCACTGATCCACCTGCTTAAGCTACCAAGCATTAACCAAGGTAACCTTTAAATTTTGCTTCAATTTTCATGAATCAAAACTATGCCATCCACAAACAACATAAAGCATGGGATTTCTTCCTTAATACGCCAAAAAAATACATCGAAAACCAATTTAAAAGATTAGGGGCCAATATAGACCCATGTCACTCATTATATGAAAAAATTTGGAGAAAAAAATTAAAAAAAGGAGAAAGGAAAAAATTACAGATATTTTAGCAGACACCATAGCTCTTCCTAAATATGGGAAGAGAAGTTCATTGATGACCAATAAAAAAAATAAGAATCCATGTTGATAAGTCATGTAAAAGAAATTATAAATTTAGTCTCAAAAATAATAATAATAAGGTCCATTCATCCAAGCACAATAAACAGAACTAAGGGCTTAAACCTTTAGTATAAGTCTAATGAAAAAAATTGCCTCACAAGTGATTGTTCTCATCTTAGATTTGATCCATAGCAAATGCTGGGAATGATGTTAATGCACAATCACAATTGGTTGTCATTTTCTGCACAAGTTATATCCAAAATCCAATAAGGATGCTAAGTTAATAAAGCTAAATAGTTTACCCCTTTCATTTTCACACTACCCTTTTTCCGTTACAAAAATGATTGCTACACTTCAAGCACGCAGCAGAGTTAGTATGACCCCTTCAGGGTGACACTGGAAAACAGCTAATAAAAATTTTTACACCCTGAAAAATTCTACAAGATCCACAGCAAGGATTACACACATACACCGAATGTGAGCAGTGTATCCACATAATAACACAAGTTGAAAATTTTAAAAATACCTACTGATCTAGTATGCAATCTACAACACCTGACTGAAATTTTGCTCTCTAAAATAGGATTTCACCCTTGCTAAATTAGCAAGGTAGAAATAATTTTTGCATTTGACAGTGTAACTAGGATTGATATGCTAGTTGGAAAAGTTAACAGTTAATAATGGAGTACATGGATCATAATCAATTGAAACATAAGGATAAAGCTTTAAGTTAATAAGTTCCACCACCCATGCACCATACACACTTTGTAGAAGAAAAATAGAGCTTCAAGTATCACAGATTACCAACCTTTGAGGATCGAAAACCATGGCACAAGATTACGATCTCTGTAGATCCAGTTTCATGCAATGCACCAACAAGTTTCTCACTGTTGTTGTTTGAAATTACGATTTTCTGTTGCTGCATTACTGAAACGTTGCAACTTATTAGCACTAGAAAATATCTTAACCAGTTTTAAGAGGTAAGCCTAAGTCATCTCTAATGTGTCAGAATTCAAAATTAGTAATAACTGTGTGCAACTGACTCGATGTACTGCATACCAGTTCTCATAACTAAAATTTCTTCATCCAAGTTCCTCTTAAAAATATCATATTCGGAGTTTCAACAGTATAAACTAAAATATCTTACATTTCATATTTTATGTTGATACTATTAGTAGTTATTTCTGTTAGGTTATTTCAAGGGAATTTTTCTAATAGAAAAGGAGTTTGATGCTCTCTAGTCATTAGATATTTGATGTGTTGATATCACGGACATAAAGTTTAAAATGTACATAAAGATAACCCGCCACACAAATCAATCAAAGTTTAATTGGAATCGGGCAGAGAAGCACATCAAAATCACATAACAGAAACTTGTGGAAGACCCTGGAAGAAGAAAAAGAAGACAAACCTTATAATTCATACATCTGAAAGTTTTTTACGAGATTTACTTTTTAGGTGAGGCAATACTGAATTATCAAAGGATTGTTCCACAAAAAACATTTTTCTAACACCTTTAAATAACAAGTCATATGGAAGAAGCCTGTACATAAAGATAACCCACCACACAAATCAATCAAAGTTTAATTGGAATCGGGCAGAGAAGCACATCAAAATCACATAACAGACACTTGTGGAAGACCCTGGAAGAAGAAAAAGAAGACAACCCTTATAATTCATACATCTGAAAGTTTTTTACAAGATTTACTTTTTAGGTGAGGCAATACTGAATTATCAAAGGATTGTTCCACAAAAAACATTTTTCTAACACCTTTAAATAACAAGTCATATGGAAGAAGCCTGTTTAAAATAAAAACAACTATGTAAACTGACTCGAAGATGCAAAATTGATTTTGTTTGAGGGGGGTCCCTAAGCTTTCTGGCTGCCTAGTAGGTTACAAGGGGATTTCCAAAAGAGGGGTAATTTTGTCTGCCGATGCATTGGTTCAGATACATTCTTCCTTCTTTAACTTTTCAACCCACCCTTACTAAAAAAGCAAAAAGTAAAAAATCTATAAATCGAATTTAAGACAGATAAAATGTTCTTCGCCATCTAGCAACAAGTTCAACACCATGATCCTGTCCACCCAATGCCATTTATTTTCAACAGATCAAACAAAGGTAACTACTACCCAGTGTCATCCCGACAATGCAGCATGCTGGGAGAGTAAAATGGATCCAACACAACCTTAGGCATCATGTATAATTCATGTTTAACACTCCAGGCTTTTACAGTTTTACCACTATAATTATTTATCATATTACAAGCATTGAAGTGTAATTAGCATACCCGGGTTATGTTCAACTCATAAAATCTATTGTTAAAGCATTTAGAACATTAAAAGTCATGTATTTGCGATTATCCACTTCTGGATGTTATCTGGTTTCTTGTATGAACTACAGCAGTTATAAACATAACAATCACACATTAATCATCCATATACAGAAATTAAAACAAATTAAATTGTTAAAGAAAAGGAAATCAACACACAAACAGAGATATATAAAGGAAATTTCTTACTTGGGTTTTGTGTAGAACTTTGCTGGGCCATCTTCAGGGTAGTTGTGATGATCTGAGTGCGTGAAGGAATGAAGGAGCAGACCTGGTGAAGAGAAAAATCTGCTGAAGTGGGTCTTTTGGTAATAAATGACTTTGAGAACAGTGAATGATGATTATACAAAATAATTCCCATTATTTTATTTAAAATGTTATTGGCTAAGCATTAAATGAAAGAGCAAATGGACTTGAAGCGAGGAGAGAAGAAGGGTCAGATGATTCAGACCCTGTGTTCTTTAGCTCTAGCGTCTGGTTTTTACACTACAGTGAAGTGAACTCAAAGATCAAATGCCATTTAATCTATTTTATTTTATTTTTTATTTTTTCACAATACCAGTTAATCGTCTCGCTAAAAAAAATAGGGTAAACTACATTTGAAGAAACATCAAACTTAAAGAACATTAGCTTTGTAGTATCCAATTAGATTTTAACACCGCAGAAGAAGCACAAATCAAGCACGTCTTTTACTCAAACGCCAAGAGTTTGGTTCACGATATCTGTCATAAAGTGGTTCAATACGTTCTTGACGCTTGCTCTTGCTCATTTTTGTAGGATCTGCCGCTTTGAAAAATCTTGGTGCCAGTTCCACAAGCCACTTAGGGTCAATAACTGTGACCTCACGCATGTACGCCTTTGTAGTCATTACCAACTCATGGTAGATCACCCAATCTGGTTGTCTCTGAAAAAAAGCACTGCTTGGGTGAATATAAACTGGTTGGTTCTCAATTAGGGTTCGGTAACCCTCCTGTGTATCCTTTCTTGCCGCATGGAAAAAGAATCCTGCTGTTATAGCCTTCCTTATTTTTGCGAAATTCTTCCCAGCCCTAGCAAGATCCAATTTGTACCTGCACCATTACAAAATGAGTTGCTCTTAGTAACTTAAGAATAAAATATACAAGGCATTTAAATTTTAAGCAGCAATCATTGTCAGGTAATCTAACAAATCTAGAAATATTTTATCTTTTTCCAGGTAATCTAACAAATTATCCAAAGACCGGATATGTCCTACACAATTTCACATCTATAAGAACTGAAAAGGATAGTCACATACCACATCTGTGAAAAAATTTAAGGTGACTAATGTAGCTACATTTGAAGAAACATCAAACTTAAAGAACATTAGCAGGCAATTTGGCATCTAACAAAGGTTTGTCTAATTAAAAAGACAGACATTCATAAGGAAAGCAATACAAGACTAGACTGCTAGAAAAGCAGGTCCTCAAGGAAATTCACTACTATATATGCCAAGGAAAAGATGGTCATAAAAGTAAACCTTGTGAAATTGATGGTGAGGCAGTGAGCAAGGTTAGCAATAGGCCTTGAAAACACAGCTTGGTCAAACCAATTCGTACTCAAAATGAAATGACATAGTAAATGATCATGGACATAACTCGGGAAGTATATTTAGAGTGAAATAGACATTTGGTTGGTATTTATTTTTATTTTTTAGGTTCATTTTGATTTTCAAAAGCAAATTGGAAAAGACATACAGCCACGTGAAAGGGTTGACACAAAAAAAAAAAAGTTATACAGCCATAACACAGATCTAATGCATCTATGATATTATACAACAAATGTAAAACCAACAGAAGTGGCTAAAAGACAACAACAAAGAAACAATAAAGAAACCAAAAATAATAATAACCCAGAAGAACATACTTGTCCATGATGATAAGAAGCTGTTTTCGGACATCCTGTGCCCTCCTCAAAGAACGAGACTGAACGAAGTTTTCAAAACACCAAGGCCCAGAAAAGTTATTTGCTTTCCAAGCCTCATAAACAGCAAGCAAAGTCAAATGGTCTCCTTTGGGCTGAAAAAACTTCGCCCTCTTTTGATCTGCTTGAGCTTGTTTTTCCCTTGGCCTGTAGAAGATATTTGCAATTCGAATCATTGCAATTATAGTCAAGATCTCATCACTGCATCCAAGGTCTACACTAGCAAGAAGCATCTTTGATAATGGTGGATTCAGCGGAAATTCTGCCATTTTCCTACCTAATTTAGTCAAAAGTCCCTCCTCATCTAGAGCTCCCAGACTGTATAGCTGTTCCATGGCAGATACAAGAGCTTGAGGAGAAGGGGGATCCATAAAATCAAAAGACAGAAGATCATTTATTCCCATAGCCTTCATATTAAGTGTCATAAGTCCTAAATTTATCCTTTCGATTTCAGGAATTGGGGTAGGGGACATCTCATTGTGAAAGGCACTCTCTGTGTAAAGACGATAACATTTTCCTGGCCCTGTACACCCGGCACGCCCAGCTCGTTGCTTGGCAGATGCTTGTGAAATGGGAGTTATGACCAGTGAATCAAGCCCTTGTTTGGGATTATACACATTTTGCTTTGCAAACCCAGGATCAATGACATAAAAAATCCCATCGATGGTCAAAGAAGCTTCGGTAATATTGGTTGCAACAACCACTTTCCTCTTTCCAGGAGGGGCAGGATCAAAAATTCTGGATTGCATTTCACTAGGAAGAGCACTGTAGACTGGTAAAATAATTAGTTCAGGAACATTTTTACCTATCCCTTTCATCCTCTTATAAAGAGACCGGCAGGCGTGGTCAATCTCTTCCTGACCAGTCAAGAAAAGAAGGATATCACCCTCAGGTTCTGTCAGGTGGATCTGTAAAACAGTGATCAGAACAGCATCTAGGTAGTCACTTTCGGGCTGTTTGGCGTAGAGTATTTCTACAGGAAAAGTTCTTCCAGGAATAGTGAAGATATTGCAGTTGAAGAAATATCCCGAGAATTTATCTGCATCCAAAGTGGCAGATGTGACAATCAAACGAAGGTCAGGTCTCCGTTCCAAGAGCGGCTTTAGTAATCCGAAAAGAACATCTGTGGATGGTCCTCTCATGAGCTTCATCGAGCAGTATCACAGAGTATTGAGATAAATTCTCATCAATCAAAATCTCCCTAAAAAGCATACCATCAGTCATATACTTGATAACAGTCTCCGGACTAGTACAATCCTCAAAACGAATGGCATACCCAACTTCGTCCCATAAACGACAGCCGAACTCCTCAGCAACCCTCTTGGTCACAGACATTGCAGCCACCCTACGGGCCTGAGTGCATCCAATTTTGCCCCTAGTAGTGTACCCTGCTTCAGCTAGATACTGTATCACCTGAGTTGTCTTCCCAGATCCTGTCTCACCAATTACTACCAGAACCTTATTATCGTGCACAGCCTGAATCAAATCTTTCTTTAGTTTATAAATTGGTAAGCTTTGCCTCTGTTCATGGATGGAAAGCTTTGATCTCTGCCCGTATGTTAGGGCATTTCCAAAAGCATTCTTTTTTCCATTCAGGCATGTCATAGGCAGATAAGCCTACACCCTTGAGCTCCTGTGCAAGATGCCTCTCACCTGCCTCAGGCATTGGGTCTTCCCATGATCAATTGAGATCTTTAGGAATAGAATCAAGCATTGTTCTCTGCTGCTGTTCGCGTACTTCTCTCCGTTCCTTTACGAGAGCAGACTGCAGGGCTGCTGCACGGCTCAAGGACCCTTCTGGATTCTTGAAGATCTTAACAGGTGACATGTCTATAGAGTGACTTTGCCCATGCAAGAAGGCCGGCTCGTCTTCATTTAACTCAATCTCAAGCTCCTCCTCAGCCCCTGCAAGAAGGCTGGCTCGTTTTTTACTCTCTTCTTCATCTTCTCTTCGCCTTCGATCCTTTGTTTCCAACTCAATCTCTCTTTCCAGCTCCTTCACTCTCTCTCTACCATCCGAAATGGGAAAGTCGGATTTCTTACCCTCAGAACCATCCTTCTTCGACTCCTTACCAGACTTTGACTTCGGGTTGGGAGGCAAAATTGCGTGAATTATCGTTAACAGCGTTCGAACTAAGTAATCAGGCAATTCAACATCATGTTTTTTCATTTTCGCGTCAAATTCATCGACAGTCTCGGTTCGACCCATGTCGGTGATGAATTCGGCCACTACCTTGTCCCCAAACCCTAGCCCTAGGTGAGATTCTAATTCGGTGCAAACCTTTGACACCAGTGAGAGGTACTCTAGTCTCTTCAAACCATCGTCTTGGGTCACGGAAGCCATGGTGTTGCGCACACAACGTGTTAGAATTTATACATGCACACAACGTGTATGTATTTATACTTGTATATATTATGTGATATATGTAGAAGTAAAATTTGAATGAATAACTTGCTATTTGAGCTTTAGGGCTTGAATCGTACCTGAAAACACGAGCACAGATCAAGCCACCGAGAAGGAGATTGAACCCTAAACCAAGGCTTTCTAGATCAAATTGAGACGTTGGATTCTTTTGCTTTAAAGAAATTATCAAAATGAGATGCGAATATAGAATCCGTACACCGACTTTCCAGTAAACTCTTTTTTAAAAGCTTTTGCGGCGGGTGCGGTGGAGTTGGAGACGACGAAGGCGAGGCCAATGCCGGATGAAATTGGTCCGACAAGATGGAGAAGAGGAAGAAGGTGGAGAAGGAAGATATGATGGTGAAATTGGTCCGACAACAAAGAAAGTGAAGAAAGAGGGAAGGATTTTGCAGAGTGAGAGAGAAGGGATGTGCGCAGAGGAAGGTAGAAAAACTTGTGCGCAGAACACGTGAGTCGGCTTTTTTCGGGTAAAACTAGTCGGGTACAAGTTAAAAATAAAAATAAAAATAAAAACACGTGCGCTGGAAACATTTCAAGTGATGCCGAGAAACTTGTTAAAAACACAGGGCGTCGGATTGATGAAAAATTTTAGTAGGAGTACTGCCATTCAGCGGGACAAATAAAAACTCAGAGCATCTCCACCTGTAAAAAATAAAAAATAAAATAATAAAAAATCAAAATCATGTAAGCATATTTTTTCTCTCCTTTCTTTTTTTCATTCACGGATCTCTTTTTTCTTTCTTATTTCAATAGACCAGAATCTGTAACTGGCGGTAAGATAAAAACGTGCCCGATCATCTTTTATTACTTATATATTTTTAATAAATATAATTTGATTCATCACTTTTATTTGATCTTTATCTTCTGCAATCCGGCGCTTGGGACGCGCCTCCACGCGCATCCACGCGCGTGGATGATAGATGCCCCATGCTGGCGCGTGTGGGGACCTTCGGGTGCGTTCCAAGGACTGTTTTGCTTCTCCAAGCTCGTACCAGTTCCTTACAGGTGTTTATAAGTCAGTGGTGGACCCTCGCGCAATACTTAGAGCAATTAAATATTAAAAGCTGATTCCATTGGTCGTTTTTATTTGCTTTATCAATCATTTATTGATGCATGTAATGCATGTAATATATAATTATTGATTAATTATTATTTATGCATTGGATCCATGATATTTAATTAAATGACTTGATTTATATTAATTAAATTATGAAAATTAAGTGAATCTGATTACTAATTAATTTGAGGGCACTTATTGGGAAACGAAAAATTATTTTTGTAAATTATTTTTAAAGTGTGCTTCAAATTAAATATTAGTGAATCATTTAAAGTCCAAATATTTTCTAAATTTAATTGGATTAAAATCAAGACGTTTAGCATGCATCATATCATGTATTTAAAAAAAATAAAAACCCTAATTATGAATGATTAAAAATTGAGTGGGAGCGGGGATTTGTATACATTGTCCCATGGCCTTCGTTATTAACACCATTGTAATTAAATCTTCAAAAATAAGGCCCCACGCATGATTTGAAGAGTCTTAATATTACAATAATGGTTGTCTCATGAAAATAAAAACATCAAATGTTCATTATAATTAGATATTTAAAAATAAGGCCATACGCATGATTTAAAGAGTCTAGATTATAATGACAAGATATTTAATGTTTTATTTTTCATCAGAGTATTAATAACGTTATACACTCAGTCTAAAATCAATAGTGTTAGCTCCCCAACGGAGTGGTCTACACTAGGTGATTTTAGAAAGGCTAAATATAATCGGAAATCATTTCATATAGATAGATAAGGCATTGTCTTAAGAGATATGGAGATGATGGGATTTGCCCGCCAATAGTAATAATGAACTTCACCAACCCAATAAGTTATTGGCGTATTGGTTATCCGATTTTTCATGCAGTGGTTAAGGGACCCACATACTATTTTAATGGAAGTACTCGCCTAATAGTAAATGAATCTCAACAATAGTAATAATGAACTCCTCCAACAGGATAAGTTATTGACATATTGATTGGTTGATTTATTATGCTACAGAGTTGAGGGACCCGCATTAATTAGAAGGGATTGTTCACCAATAATGATAATGATCTCTTGTTCGATTGAAATTTATTATATTATGTGGTTAACAAACTCATTTTAATTTTAAATATGCATGACAGTATTAATAATTCACTTTGCATATTGTATGAATGCATTTATATTCAAATTAATTATGTCTAATACATGTTATCTGCTTGCTTACATATTCAATGTATGTGGACCTCTTTTATAATGATTGGAAAAGGAACTTAGATATTTTATTCACAACGTAAGGGTACAAAATGTATATAATACTCCTATACCTAATTCATTTACTTTAAGATACTTAATGAGATATTTTAGTGAGATTAGATAGGGCGTATGCCTACGTACTATGTCAGACTTGAACACCATCAAGATAGCCTAAAGAACTCCAGTATGAGATCGAATTTTGGAAAATGATTGTTTATTATTTAAAAATTAGCTGGAGATCAATAGGGCTGACTTGGGTGGTAAGTTTCAAGTTGACATGATTATTGCCTTGTTACCAAACTCGTTCGACTCTTTTAGAGTGAACTAAATAAGGAATTAGTTTGAGTTCACACTCGCTGATATTCTTATAGAATTGGTAACAAATGAAGGGATAATCAAAAGTATAGGCATTCTTATCAATCTAACATAGTCCATACCATCTTCTTCTAGGCCCAAGTGGAAGGGCAAAGCAAAGAAGAAGGATGATAATAGGACTAGGCTAGCACAAAACATAGTTATCCAAAAGGTTAAAGGGAATAAGGCAGTGTATGTTGAGGGAGAAGGAAACTGTTTCTTTTGCCGCTAACTAAAATACTAAATGACGAACTGTCTAAGCAATGACGTGGCATAGGAAAATACATATTTAATCATTGAGTCATTTTATGTGGTTGCATCTATTAATTCCTGATGGATAGATTCTGGAGCCACTAAATATATTTGCAATTCATTGTAAGGATTTCAGGAATCTAAAAACCTTGATGATATGGATATATATTTATCTTTTGACCTGATGCTAAGGTTGTAGTTAAGTCAGTGGGAGTATTACATCTGAAATTAGAGAGTATGAGGATATTAATATTAGAGAACTATCTTTATGCACAGAAGTTAGACGCAATCTAATTTTTGTTTCACTTGTGGTTTATAAAAACTGTGTTGTTATTTTGTAAAACTAGTTTTATAAAATTGAATAGATATGCGATTGCTTCTGGTGCATTGAAAGATGGTTAATATACTATAATCACAAACTCATAATATTTGCAGGATGTAGAAACTAATGTTGCATCTTCTTGATTGAATGTTAAAAGAAAATTTGTTATTCCTGACTCATTGTATTTTTAATGTCTATTTTTGAGTTGTTATCAATCAAAATGAGATTCAAAGATTGGTCAAAGAAGGTTTATTACCTAGTGAGGCAGAGGAGCCTAAACCAAACTTGTGAATCCTGTTTTGAATGATAGATAACTCTAAAGGCTTAATCAACCAAATGAAATAGACATAAAGGACAATTGGAGTCAGTACACACAGACACGTGTGGTGTTATGAACATCCAAGCAAGATTACTCACGTTTTGGATAAATTTATCTGATGCGACACGAGTCTTAAACTTTTGGTACATTCTAAAAGTGTCAAGATTGATGTGGAGCACAGATTAGGTAAGCTTATCAAAACAATCCGATCTGATCGTGGAGATGAGTATTTCTTGGGATAGTGCAAAGACTATATGGTCAATGAGGGTGTGGTATACCAGGTTTTCCGCAATTGACGCTAAATGGATTTAGGTGTCAAATAGGAATAACAGAATTTCGCTTAACATGGTTAAATCTATGATTAGTTATGCTATATTATCTCTTTCATTTAAGAGTTTAGCGTTAATGACATCGATGCGCATTATGAACTGCATTCCATCTTAGTCCGTCTCAAGGATACCGTTGAGCTGTGTTTTTTACTAAATCTTAGTTTGAATCACATGCACATATGGGGTAGTCTTGCACATGTGCGCTTGATATGGACAAGTAATTTGGAAACAGATCATACGCATGATAGTTTGATAGCTACTCTAAAAAGCACTATAATGGATTATTTTATGATCTCAAAGATAAAAGTTGATTATTTTCATTTACTGTTTATCTATATGAGAATCATATTATGAATCGCATACCTAGTAGCATAATGTTAGAGAATTTGATATGAGTACCAGATGTACCACATACGAACACACTTATTATAATAGAGATTGAGAATAATATATGAATTCCCTATTGATGCGTTAAGCATCATCTAATACACAGATTCCTGCATCGACACATTGATGTAGTGGGAGGATTATCATCCAATCCGAACTAATCATGTTTTTAGGTGAGACCGTTATGAACATCCCTGTTAAACATGAGTTGGACCTAGTAAGCTACACGGAAGCGTGAACCGATATGGATACGGATCGTTTTGGCGAGTTACTATGAAATCAGAGTTAGAATCTATATATTCTAATAAATTCTGGGATCTTGTAGAACTTTCTAGTAGGGTGATTCCTATGCAAGGCAAGTTAATCTACAAAAAGATACCAGAAGATTTCTTAGTGAATAAATCATGAGTATACAAGGGAATGTCATTATTTTTCTGATTCTATATATATTGATGACATCCTACTCATTTAGCATGATGTGGAAGTTTTGTCATCGATAAAGAGGTAGTTGTTCAATTACTTTTAAATGAAGGATTTTCAAGATGTAAGCTATATTCCTAGGATCAAGCTTGAGCAAGATCAAGTTAAAAGGAAAATAGGCTTATCTTAATAATCCTACATTGATAAAGTTTTGACCAGGTTTGGTATGCATAACTCAAAGAATGAGTTATTGCTTTTATTGATATGGATGGCTCTATTTAGTAAGTAGTTTTTCAAAACTATCAAAGGAGATTGAGCAAATAAGACTGGAACAATATGCTTCGGCATATGAAAGTCTCATATATGCCATGGTCTATACCAAACAGGACATCCGCTATATAGTAGGGATAGTCAGTAGAGATCAGTCCAATACTGGACTTGACAACTGGTCTATTGTGAAAAATATCATTAAGTACCTAAGGAGGACCAAGGATATCATACTCATTTATAGATGTGATGATATGGTCCTAGTCATGTATGCTAGTTCTGATTTTCAATCAGAATTAGATACTATGAGGTTCATGACTTAGTGTATGTTCACTTAATGGAAGGGATATCAGTTGGTAGATTGTTAAGCAGATTTTAACTGCTGACTCAAACCTGCAGGTGGAATATATTGCAGCCTTAAAGGCGGCAAAGGAAGCTTATTGGTTTGATCTCACTGATTTGAGGTTATGGAGTATACTAGCCTGCCTATTGAGCTATGTTGTGGCAATAGTGCAGAAGTAGTCCAAACCAAT